CTAAGATCTGGTTCCCCTTCTAGGCCCTGTGCAGATTTCTACCTTTGAGCTAAGATAGGATGAGGCATAAGAGTCCTGCAGGTGGGCCTCCTTTTTGAGGGCAATGAAGGGGCAAAGATGAAGCTGCGGGAAAAAAAAAAAAAAAAATGAAGCTATGATTAGCAATGGCTTAAGACTGAGGAAGCTCTTCCCAGTGGCCTGTCTTGGGAAGATGGTTCCACCCATCTGCAGGCTGATGTTTTCTTTGTGTGTTCTGCTTGCAGAGAAGCTTCAGAAAGAGCTTGGTAAGTGACCCCTCTTAGAACTATTTCTCTTTATTCATCATTTTGCATCTGGTTCCCAATATATCTTCTCATCTCCCAACCAGGTATGGTGCCCAGGCAGGACCCCTGCTGGCGGTGTGGGTGGCGGGAGAGAGGGGAGGGGAGGGGACACAGTGGGTGCAAGATGTGATGTGTGAGCGGGGAAGCTTGGGGTCCTGATGTGCTAATTTCCTGCTTTTCCTTGGTTGCTTCAGACTGGAGACGGACTGAAGGCCAGGCTGGTGAGTGGAATCCGTCTCTCTCTGACTCTTCCTCATTTATGTCTGAGCACCCCGGTCCAACTCACCCTGATGAACCTATTGGGCTTCATTCTGGTTGCATTCCGCGGCCTCACACAGCATGTGTTAATCTGTGTCACTGGGTAGAGGTTATACTCCGTCCTGAGGACTAAGTGTACTGCAAACCACTAGTTCCAATCCTGGTTACATATCAGAGTTACCTTGACTCCTGGTGCCCATCCTCCAAGACAGACTCATGGTTCGGGCATGAATGTGTTGCTGTACATGGAAATACTTCTCTGTATACCTCCCTCTATTCACCCCTAATGCAGACAGTCTAATGTATATAGTTTGTATATATTCTTGCAAAATGTGAATGTCGATTTATGCATATGCATCTTAGTTCATGTAAGTGACATTTATGGTTCTGTGCTGTTCCTTGCTTTTCTCATGCTCACCATGTTTTAGTATCCATCGCTGCCACTCGTGTGTATTCAGTCTGTTTTTCCTCCTTACCGCAGAGTGCTTCATTTTAGCCAGCCACCCTCCCGGGGAAGGTATCCAGGCTGCCTGTAACTCCACAACAACACCGAATGCATAGTCTCAAACGCGTTGCCTTACGGCCCTGTGTGGAGATCTCTCTGGGGTCTATAACTAGGAGGGGGATTGCTGGCCCATGGTGGGTGTGTCCCATGGGGTAAGGGGATACTGGGATCCCCTGAAGGCAGCGTCATCATCCTGCCACCAGCCAAGCCGGGACATTCCATGTGCCCACATCTCACGTGAGCCCGCTTTCTAAGTTTGCCAGTCAATGGGGATAAGTGATGGCTCATGGTTCTTTAGGTTTGCACACCTGTGAATGCTGAGAAGATTGAGCATCTCCATATATGCTAGTTGCTTCAGGAGCTTCCTCTACTGAAAACTGCCAGTTCGTATCATTGACCCATTTTTCTTTTGGGATTGCTGTCTTTTATTATTAACAGGAATATTATATGTCTGTGTGTGTGTGTGTGTGTGTGTGTGTCTGTGTGTATGTGTGAGAGAGAGAGAGAGATTAATCCCTCGTGGGTAAACATTGTGAATTCCTTCTTCTGTTGTGCCATCTGCCATTAGCTGTGTCCATAGTTCCCCTTATTGAAAAGGAATTATTAATTTTGATAAAATGTAATCCATCACCTTTTTACCTACCTTATGGTTTGTGTTTTTGAAGTTTCATTGAAGAAAACTTTCCTCACACTTAGGTCACAAAGATATTCTCTTACACTTTCTTCTATTTCTTTTTCTTCATGTAACTACAAAAACCTTTCTACTATCTTTATATTTGCATCTTTAATCCATCTAAAATTTGCCATTTTATGAGGTGTTGGGTGAGAATCCTGTGATTTTTCTCCATATAGTGAGTTGGGCTTACCAATGCCATTTACTCCACCATTCCAGGGTTGCCACTGATGGGAACCACCTTTGATGCACGTTGGATTCCTGTCTCTATATGAGTGTGTCCATTGGCCACCTATTACATCATTGTTTTTACTGCTATGGCTTTTGTAGTATCTGAAAGTACAAGTTTTCCTTCTCCATTTCCAATTCCTTTTTTAAAGTGAATGAACCTTTTTAAAATATAAACTTTAGGATAAATTCATAAATCTCCACAAAAAATCCAAAAAGGAGTTTAACATAGGATTGCTTTGAACTTACAGATAAACTTAGGGAAAATCAATATCTTTGTAGAATTGAGATATTCCACACAAGAGCTATTGTGTTTAAAGCTTCACCAGTTATCCTGACACAAAACTGGGGCAACAAAGCCTTGCTGTAAATATCTGGAACTCTGAGAATGTCTTGTGTTGCTTTTGCTTTTGTGACTCGGTGATATCTTTGTTGCAAAACAAAACGAGATAAAACATAACAGAAATCCACTCAGATTGATTCACATTAAGAATGGAGGCATGTCACGAAAACACAGGACATCTGGAGGGCATCTTCGGGATCTGTCAGGCTCAGCTGGACCTCCTGGGCACAGCCTGGCCAGTCAGAGTCTGAGGCTCCACTTCCGTGTCTCAGGGCATCCAGGCTGCCTCTAGAGTCTCTTCACCTACGTGCTCCATTCTCCGGCTTTTTCCAGCAGAATTTCAGCCTGCATGGAGCTCTGGTATCAATGACACAGGCCTCTACTCGATCGGAAATTTCTCAGGAAAATCCATGGTGAACCCCAAGACCAGTCTGAATTCAAACCCGTTGTCATGGTGGGAATGGGGTCGTTCTCGCTGCCTGCATCCCTCATGCAAGTGGAGCCTTTGCTGAGGTTCCAGAGTTACTGACTGAGGTTTCTGACCTTTTTTTCTCCTCTGTTTGGTTTCAGAGTGGAGAGCAGCCCAAAAATACGCAGGTAACTGAAGCCAGGAAACTGATTTGTGTTTTGGGTTGGCTGGATCTTAAACAGAAGGGAGGTGGGGAGATCTGAGATTAGAGGTCGGGGCTTTCTGGGAGCCAAGTATGGGGCCGGCACACACAGACACACACGCACACTTGCAAACACGCCACACGACACATATGCCTGCATGTGTATGCACACACAC